CGTCGCTTTAACTAATCATAACAATTCGGCTTTTTTCGGCAGGTGTTGCGCACTAAACTTGTAATTGGTGGCGAAATAACTGCGTTTGTCAGAGGATGTGATGTATCAGCAGCATGCATCGATAATTGTAAAAGGAAAGAGGAGAGTAAGTCAATCTTGCTATGTTCAATATCGATGCTATGACCGGCTTTCGTCTCTTAACAACTTTCACTTCGTGGGAATTACGACACTAGTGTCTTAGACATAGTAAAACAATATTTGTTTCGTTGCTAACAGTTCTTTCCTTTTTATTCAGACGGTGTTAGTGTCGAAGTATGTCAGACTTGCTGCGATTCAGATTATTGTAACACTGGTAACGGTGACGTCACGCTCGCGGAAAATATTGGCAGCACAATGCAAGGAAGTGTTCTTCTAGTGGTTACGGTTTTGGCGTTAGTGACCGGCAATGTCGTGATGACACGCATGTAACAATCGTGATAATGTACACTTCAAGAGTTCGACTTTTTTAGTATCAATTAAATTTCCGGGTTCTTCCCAGTATTTGTCTTTTATATTATACTTTCAATGACATCTTCCACAGTTAAACTTCACATGATGTATGACAAATTTGTATTATTAATTAAAAGTACGAACACGTAATATAATGAACATGTGCGTGTAAATAGTTTCATTTTCTCACCAAATAAATACTATTTTGATTGCTACAAAAAAAAATAGTTTTAGTTTACAACACATAGAATTGTTTACTGTTACAGGAGAGGCATGCCACACAGCTCCTGACTTTACAGTATGGGTAAAAGATGTTGAGCTACTCATCCTTGGTTATTTACGAAGTTACTCGCGTCAATGGGGGAAATAAAAGAGGATACTATAATACAAAAACAATAACACCATCTTGACGGTTAACGGAATACTAGGAATCTTCCCTAATTTATTATGCACGCATGCGCAAATGCAAAAAAGTGAACTTACAAAAACGCATGGACCAATAACACTCGAGTTTACAGTCTAACAAAAGAGACATGAAAACAGTTATCATCTTCCTTATTGAAAGCCAGAGGCGAAAATAAGGAAACTTACATCTCTTATGACAAGCTAAATATTGAAGAAACTTTATGTGACGAATATTCGGATAATAGAATACTAGCCAAGGACGTTATGCAGGAAACGTTGAACACGCATCTTAAAGAAAACAGTGGCAGTTCAAATGGTTTAAGTGTAGAACCTGAGCTAGCGATGAAAGCATGTAATTTAAATGCTGATTCTGGAAATTACACGGGCTGCTAAGTACTTTACAAGATACTGACTTCGTCTCTTATTTAAATAAATTTGATTTGATTCTGCTGGTATGGCGTGTATACGTGGTTAGTGCTAGACATGTACGTTGGAATCACAGATTTTAGAGGTATTCACAAAACGAGATATAAATTATTGTCGGTAAACATCAATTAAATTTGCATATTGAACAAGTAGTCAGTAAATCTTATTACCAAACGCTTCAGCGTGGTATTAAGAGTTTGTTTTCAGGGGTGGGTGATACCAAGGTGGGAAATGGATGCACATATGGGGTTAATTCCTTGAATTGCAATATAGAGGGTTCAGGCTGAAATACAAATATAGTGTTTCATGTTTCGTCTG